GTGAATGCTAGTATGTGTGTAAACAGTCTGTATTGTGTAAACAAGCTGTATTAGGAAAAAAAATGGCCCTTTCGGTAAACTATTGTTTGCAAATAAGATTTAAAATGTTTGCAAATCCTCAAAAATGTAATGTTGGATTGTTCATTGTTATAATATTCACCCAAAGCAGGGTAAAACAATGTGGGAACAAACAAACAAACAAACTCCAGCCTTGTGCCCTGTATCGCGTCCCCCCCCCAGTACCTGGTTGGTGAGGGTCTCACATGCTGTAAAGGGGGCAAAGTCCGTTTTGTGTCTCGTCTGCCTTTCACTACCGGGTGTGGTGACACCGTATCGCATGAATTATTTTGCTGTATAATAAAACATCATTTGCTGAGGCCAGATTAGTGAGAAGCTTTGAAAGTAGATTCCTCACACTAGTGAAACGCATGGCATGCTGTCATGAACTAGCCATTTTTATTCTTCTGATCAGTTTCAGACACTAGATTTATTCTGAACTACTTATTTCAGAAAATGTTTACAAAAAAAGTTACCATCAGTTTCTTGGTCACTAGGAAAGAATTTTGGAAAAGTTGGGAACATTTAACCTTTCAAAGTGTGTGGCCTTCTGCTACAGTGCTTTAATGAATAAGTGACAGGCACGTGGCCAGAGCACACTAATTATGCAGTGTTTACCGAGGCCAGCATATATTTTGTCAGATCTAACCTTCATTCCTTTTATGAGTGTTAAGAATCCAGTCTAATAACAACATGGGTGGAATTCTAGGACAAATAATAGAAGAAGCATTAAAAAACATTTTTTAAAAAAGCATTTTAATATTGTAGAACAGCTGTGAATCAGTGTGATGCAGCACTAAACTAGTTCCTCGTATCGGTGTTCCATAGAGTTCGTCACCAAGGCTTTTAATTAATTAACCACTTTTTTTCCTTTGATTAAGCTACTGAATGAGCACTTTATCTCAGTCCCTCCATCTTATCTGCTTATCTTGATCAGGGTCGTGCAGCATAAGCAGTGTCACTCACTTTGAACCAAATGTGTTATTTGTGTTACACATTATTACAATGTAAGGCACTACTACAGATGAAAATGCAATCACAAGGTTGTGGGTTCAAACCCAGCCTCAGCACGTCTGTGGGTCCTTGAGCAAGGCCCCTAACCCCCAGCTCCCTGGGTGCTGCTCTGGGTGGCTGCCCTTCACGGAGAGCTTACTCTACAAAAAAAGAACAAGTTGAGGGAGGTGTAAAGACAATTTCCGCACAGGGATTGATAAAGTATCGTTTATATAATACTGTAGATTAGGTGCTCAGAAATGGCTGTGTCAGTAAATCTAAAGGAAACTCAGTGAAATGAGCAGCATCAAGGTGCTGATGTGAAACAAATGAATAAATATCTGCAGTACTTTGCTGGTCAATTTGAAGAGCAGAGGGTGCATTAAGAATAATGCCTGCAAAATAGCAAACAGCTAATTCTACATTGCTACTAAATTATAGTAAAAGTACCTACTAAATCCAAGGTCTTACAAAGTCTGCATTGTTTGTTTGGATAAACAGATTAAATGCCAGAATACAGCTAGGGTACTAATATTTTCAGCAGTTCACTTTTGAGAGAACAGTTCTCTCAGAAATGATTCCCTGTCTTTGTTCTTGACTCTGATCCTCCAGTAGAATTATCGGTTCCCTGAGACCCGCATCAGAAAATGGGCTCCCGTACTGATGACCAAGCCTATAAAACAGAATTCAAGCACATTAGGCTATGCAGACATTTTAAGCAAATTCTGCCATTCTTAAAATGACTAATTCTGCATTGGAAATTCTTAGTGGATGAAAAATGGATCAAGTCGGGGCTGAACTATGATTAAAAACTGACCCTGGACTTTGAAGTCCCCCACCATAAATTCTGTCAAGCAGGGGGATCCCCATGAAAATTTTGCCAGGCCACAAAACCAGTAGCTCACTGGGAAAATGCCCAGTATACCAGATGACCAGCCTGGATTAAGCTGATTATGTAATAGCTGGCTTTCATAAATACAGTTATGTTTTAATACTTTAATTTATTGCTTAACAGTTCCAGTGAATCGACAGTGGATAAACAAATGAGGAGGCCACCTACTGTCACCCTTGGAACTAATAACAGCTGATTGTTCCAAACTCTTTTGAATAAGACTCACTGAGTGTTAGTGAGAGATGGTGTCATAGCAACAAGTATACAGCAAACCCAGCAGCTGCCTTCTTTCTGTTTGACTTGAGAAACTGTGCAAACTGGAATTTATGGTCATTGCTTATTCTTGAAAAAACATTTGAATGAGGATTCCAATGAAAACTTTCAATAATGGACCAGGAAAATAAGGACTTTCCCAGTTTTACTTGTATATGTGAGCTCTGCGACTGTGGGTAAGAATAATTTGATAAAATCTACAGATATAAAATGCAAAATATGTGTTGACAAGAAAATAAAATCACATAATTTTGCTATAATTCTGTCTTATATGGTTAATTGAAGTTAAGGTTAAGAATTAAAAATCTAAAATGCACTTTATGCTACAGTATGCTTACAGCTTGTGTATTATCAGTCCATGTAGTGCTCTGAATGGTATTAAGTTTAAGTCCATACATGTGTACCGTTTATGTATAATAGAACCATCTGTATTGTATTTTAAAAGTGAGGTATGTGTAATTTTAATGCTGTGCATTTTGTAATAGGAAACATAAGCGACACCAGGGGTGCAGAAAGTTGAATGGAAACGTGCAGATTGGCTGGGGATTTGACAACCAGCTGATTAGTGACTACAAGTGCAGCTTTGCCTGGCCCCACGGTAACCCCCCATGTTAACCCCCCACGGTAACCCCCCCCCCCCCGGTACACTACCAACTGAAGGCATAGCCAGCATTTATCCACCTGTGACTGAGACTCTTTATGCTCAACTGGTTGGTTGAAACAAAATCTTGGTCTGGATTTTTACTCACTGGACCTGAATTACTCACCCATGGTAACGCCCAACGCACCATTATACAGCTAAGAAAATCATCCAGAGAAATCCTCAGACACTGCTGTAGTAACGTGATGTTTTTATAGGCATCATCATGCACAGGACTGTACAGGCATTTACACTAATTCTTCCTTGAAGCAATTTTGCTAACAGCTGAAAGAGGGTGATTGTCTTATATGTTTTTAGGGGTGTAACAGTACGGTACGTACCTCAGTTTCTTAATTAAGCAGTGGTTTACTGAACAAAGAATGACTGTCTTTCTTAAATAAAAAGTCTCTGTCAATATTGCTGCAATCTTCTAATAAAACACTAACGTTTACTTAAAAATAAATCAAAATAAATATTCTCTCAAGTAAATATGGTAAATTAACTGTACCGGATCTGTACTGTATTACCAGCTTTCACCTTGATATTAGAACTGTGCAACACAAATATTGTCTGAAAAAATACAAAACATAAAATAAATATCAATTATGGTGCAACATTTAAAAAAATTCCTGTGCTGTACTTGTATTCACATGAACACCTTCCAGCTTCACATTAGGACGTACGTGTGCATGTGTAATGGTGCGGCTTCATCCACCCCTTTCCGAATGTTGTTCGGGGGAGACACACAAACACACAGAGGTTCCAAATCTGCTGCATTCGGTACATATGCGTACTGAACTGAAAGACCCGGAATACATGTACCTTTTACTCTCCTAGTGTTTATCCTGCCTGTATTGTCACACCAAGCACATGTTATTCACTGAAAAATAGTTTTCCTACACGCGTGTGTCATTGTGGGTTGCCCCAACACTCCAGTAAAGATGAACTGTGTGAGTGTCCCATCCTGGGTTATTCCCTGCCTCGTGCCGTGTGATGGGTTGGTGCCCCATCCTGGGTTATTCCCAGCCTCGTGCCCTGTGATGGGTTGGTGCCCCATCCTGGGTTATTCCCTGCCTCGTGCCCT